GGCCTTCCGATGTTCTTGGACTGGGCTTAGCACTACTTGGGCCTACGAACCTTAAGCGGGTTCGTGGGAGACGAAAAGGTCGGTGAGCTTGCGTCGGGTGTTCAGCTCCGGCAGTCCCGGGCGGGAGCTTCGACGCGATACGCCGGGGTCGTCAAGCGGTGGAACTCAGGCCAGGGAGTGCACGAAGCTGTTAGTACGTCGAGAACACGGCGCACACTGGATCCAAGAAGACGCGGCGGCAAGGGCGGCTCCGAGCCCCCGGCGACATCGAGACCCACGCGACAGCGAAACGGGTTGCTGAGCGATGCAGGCACGGGCGCCGCTCTCGGCCTGCCAGGCGACGGACGACGGTCGGTGAGGCGCCCTGGCAGCCGGCCGCCTGAAGCGGGCCTTGGACAGGGCAGTGGGTCGTCGTCGCGCACGGGGGTCGTCGTCCTTCCCACCCGTCGGCAGAAGAACTCGAATGCGGGAGCCGGTCCGCCGCCGCCGAAGGGTACGGCTGCGGGGGGGTCCCTGGCGGTCTGTCGACGGCAGGGAGTTGGAGGGGACGCGGAGGAGATTTGGAACGGCCGATGAAGGTAGCGCGAGAAAAAGTGTACGAGGAGCGCCTGGCCAGGCGAGCCGCTTGGCAGGGGAGGAGAGGGCGTGATGCTGCCTTGACCCTTGAACGCGGACACAACACCACGGGTTGGGCTGCCGCCGCCGCCCGTCGCCGCTCCTGCTTCTTCGCTCATGCTTATTAATTTCCTTCCTTCTCCAAAACCTAAAAAAAAAAAAACAAAAAAGCTTAAAAATTAAGAATCGGATTCGAGAGTGACGCTAGCTCCTTCTCCATCGGGGATCCAGATCTCTGGCACATGCTTATATTATAATTTTAAGAAACACGTCTACTCTTCTACGTATGTTGGAAAATGACGGATGAACTTCTTCTAAAACAAGGAAAAAAAATATCTCTATATTACAATTTACGTAAAAATTATTCTATGTACTTATTTATTTTTTTTGGTAAATGAATGAATTTCTATTTATTTGAAATTGATATACATTGAGATATCTCAGTAAACTGAGATTACAACTATAAAATCAAGTGTAGTCATCTATCAAAGAATACAAAAAACAAAACCCCTTTTGTGTATCAGACCATAGAAGCTTTTGATCCTTAGTTTCTTTGGTTAAGAATAGTGATCCAAATATCAGTTTTAATGACCTTAATCAAAAGCATTGGATCTCTAAATTGCTGCTGGAATATCCGTGCATTTCTTTCCCTCCAAATATAGTAAATGGAAGTTGTTAATGCCATTCTTTTCAGTTTTTGCTTGATCCCTCGCCCTCTCAGTCTGTTGGAGTACCATTCCATGATTTGATTCTAATGGCAAGACCTCCAATTGAACTCCAACCAGCTCATGATATTATTCCACACTTCACATGAGTAAGCACACTCAAAGAATAGGTGATTTCTGGATTCTCTTTTATCTCCTGCACAGAGGCAACACTGATTGTTCTCAATTATTCCTCTTCTAAGAAGTCTGTCTTGTGTTAGCATTCTGTCTTGTACGGCCAACCAGCTCACGAATGAGTGTTTAGGAACATTAAATCCCTCCCAAATAACTGTGCACCATGGTACATGCTGAGAAACAGGGGGTATTGCATTGTACAGGGATGAGAGCCTGAGCTTACCATTCTGATAGCATGAGATTAGAAGCAGCTTCAGGTTATTTTCACCTCCACATAAAGCCAATGCTTTATCTCTAGATTTTATTAGTTGCTTCCACATCCAAGAGTCCCCCAATTTAGATCTGACTTGCCAAATATCACTATGTTTTAAATAGGTTCCATGAACCCATTTAATCCACAAACACTCCTTGTTAATGTGTATATTCCAGATGCATCTTAGAGCAGAAGCCATATTCCATTTATATGCAGAAAATATACTCAGACCACCCTGTTTTTTACTCAAACATACTTTCTCCCATGACACAAGAGAAGCCTTGAATGTTTCATCAGATTTTCCCCATAAGAACAACCTACACATATTATCAATCTTCTTCAAGGCACTGATAGGTAGGACATAATTAGAAGTCCAGAAAGTCTGAACACCAAGAATCACACTCTTGATTACTTGCATTCTTCCAGCATATGAGAGCTTCCTATGCTTTAACCAAGTTTTGAATTGCCCCAAAATTCTGTTGAAGAGAGGATTGCAGTCCATATAGGTTAACCTCTTAGAAACTAGAGGAACCCCCAGGTACTTGACAGACAGAGAACCAACAGAGAAACCCAGGAGATTATGAATGGAAGCCTTCACATTTTCATCAACTCCTCCAAAGAAAATAGAGCTTTTGTCAGAATTTGCCTCTAAACCTGAGATTTTACTGAAATCCTTAATGCATTGATATATTTTTGATACTGAATTGAGATCACCCTTGGAAAATAATAGAAGATCATCGACAAAAATAAGATGTGTAATTTTTAATTTTGCACATTTAGGATGATATTTGAATGCTCTGTCATTCTTCAGAAGATCTAGGCTCCTTGACAAGTACTCCATGCCCAAGATGAATTGTCACGCCCCGCTTCCCAAAATAGTCAGGAATCGGGATGTGAACAAGTCCGCGACGTATTAGGTTGAGAAGAAATATACACTATTAAATTCTTTCTTTTTCTTTCCTTCTCAATCTAATACGCAAAGCGTCAAATACGTAAATCTCAATCACAGGTCCCACCTGTCACGCCCCGCTTCCCAAAATAGTCAGGAATCGGGATGTGAACAAGTCCGCGACGTATTAGGTTGAGAAGAAATATACACTATTAAATTCTTTCTTTTTCTTTCCTTCTCAATCTAATACGCTAAGCGTCAAATACGTAAATCTCAATCACAGGTCCCCGATCACAATAGCAAGAATATAAAGACAATCCAGAATAAGAAATAAACATATCATCCATAGCAAATCATCCCAGACATAAAAATATGGGTCAAACATGCCCTTATTACAAAACAGGTCTAGACGGAATAAAATACATAGTCCATAATAAAAGAAGATACTGCCAAAAATACGAAAATCCGACATTAA